TCTAACCGTATATTAATGTCGTCAGAGCTATCATCCATTTTTTCAGTTTCAACTACTAGTTCTTCTTGTAATTGAATGTCGGTTTGGTTGTTAAGCAAATCATCCAGCTCTTCTTCCCTCTCAATACGACTGACAACAGTAGTCCATGTTGGAATCCTTGAGATCATTCATCATTCTCCGAACATGGCCTCGTTCGGTGATCCCTGTATACCATTATGGTATGGGCGATTTTTGTGTAACTGCACAAAGCAAAAGCCTTCTGGCCATTTATTGGTTTTATTGTCTCTCATCTAAGAAACAGGAATGTTGCGCACATCTTGATTTGCCCTTTCCACAGAGCCTTGACTCTGCGAATGACGAGGTTTTCCATGTACAATTTTAGCGTCGAAAATATCTGCTAAATTTGAAATTACAGCATTTGTAAATGCACGCCATTATCACTATGGAGAATGCAGGGAGCGCCAATAATACAAAAAATTTCCATCAAATTATACGCGACTTCCTCTGCTCTCTTAGATTTCAGCGGCTCTAAAAATACGAATGTTGTCAGGAGATCCTCATAATTTAAAATAAATTTAAAATCGTTATCGGACTCGGTCTGCATGTCAATTAAATCGACTTGCCCTCTTTTGTTGAACTTCTTCGTTAATATCGGCTTCGAAACTAAAACATTATTTTTCTCTTTTTTCTTTAACTGGCAAGATAAACAAAGTTTTTAATATTCTTCAATAACATTTCTGCTAATATTTGCATATTTTTCTTTATTATTATTATTGAAATAGAATCCGTTCGTTTTCTATTGTTAAAACCTCAAATCTATGAAGACGTCGGTATTCTAGCGGTGTAAGGAGGCATTCCTTCTGAAGGAGGCCTATAGTAAGGTCTTCACTTCTTGTATAATTTCTTTGGATTTCTCCGATGAAAGAGAGCACGTAAAGTTTTTATTATAAACAGTAAGACATATTTTCAGGTTATCATTAAACGCTTCAGCATTAACACAAGAAGCCATAATCTTGTACTTACATTTACTAAAAACTAACCGCTAACTAACCTTTATTATATAAAAACCATGTAAAAACTTCTAACTTGCATTTATTTATATAAAGTCGTACTAGTTTCGGGTTACCCCATCATCAACGACAAAGTCAATGAAGCTATAATAGGTGTAGACTGGAAATCGGATAAGAATAAAGCATTTTGCTATCTGATGGATAGCAAAATAATAAACAAAATGAAGATAAAAGATGAAAAATGGCGACGTTAAAAAGTGTGGAATGTTATAAATTAGAAAACTTTAAGAGGATGCGTTGGCGGAATGAGATGAGGCGAGACTTTCAGTCTCGCCTCTTCATTTTGTGTATCCATCAGATAGCAAAATGCTTTGTTCTTATCCGATTTCCAGTCTACACCTATTATAGCTTCATTGACTTTGTCGCTGATGATGGGGTAACCCGAAACTAGTACGACTTTATATAAATAAATGCAAGTTAGAAGTTTTTACATGGTTTTTATTTGATTATTAATCTTGCAACATGGATAACTCTGGCAATTAACCTTTATTATGATCGGCATTTGATCAAATAGGAGGTGCACAATCGGAGATTGTGTAAAATTAAACTATCCAATCTGCGTTTGCTCAAAATTACCTGCTCAAATTCCGAAATTCAGTCCTACTTTGGCATTTGCTCACATGCATTTGAACATTCCCTGAAATGCTCGATTATTTCGGCACTTGTCCGAAACCGACGATTGGGTCTAACATATACATACATTCTTGAAAATTTGCCAATTTCACATTTCTTGAAATTGTGGTTGAAGAGAAAATAATAATGTCTCCAAAACTGTTAGAAATTAAGAAATGAAACTCTCTAGATGACAGGTTGTACTAAATTTTAAGCTTTCAGGGTAAACGATTCACTCTACCTACAAGGTGTATCTGAATATGTCGTTGAAGTTAGCAACGGATTCAGAAACAAAATTCACATTTTTACAGCGAACCAAGCAAATAGTGTACTCTATTTATAATTTCGTATTTATTAGTGATAACAACCAAAAAAACCATCAAAATTAGCATTAAAGAGAGTAAAATACAAAACCCTTCTAAAACTTTCAATTAAAATTAATTATTATTATATAAAAACGTGGGATCGAGATCACCCTCTCATTATGTGAAAAAATCATATTTGTATTGAAAAAGCTTGAGGATCCATTAAGTTCACTCCAAATATCAAAATCACTATTTCGAATAACATATCTAAGAACCACCCGGAAATTCAGAGGACAAAGGGTCGAAATCACCCCCGAAATACGTAAAAAATTCATAACTTTCTTGAAAAATTTTGTGACACCACCAAACTTAGTCGAAAAATCAAAAATAACGTTTCGAATATCATATATTATCTATGAGACACACGGAAATTATGTTGATAAGGGTTGTATAATAATAATTGTATATATAAATAATTGTAATTAAAACTGAATTTGGTCTAATGTGTAGTGATCTGGATAAACATGATCCCTTTCCGTAATATCATAAAGCGTTTTATATTGCTCACACAAGCTTACTTCGTCGTTCATTCCGTAATATTTACGTATAATTTTTTAATCCAGAAATCCTAGAAGAACATATTTCACAAATGCCTTGTCTGCTATATTGGTTGTTTACATTATAGACTGCTGCACTAAATGATATAAACGGAGTTAACATATCCCATTTCACATGGCACTCTGGTTTATCAACAGAACGGTACCGCTCACAAAAATCGTTTGTATTCCTTGTATTGTATATTTCTTGTAACTCATTTTTATAATGAATAACAAAATATTTTAGAGACATATTATTATCCAACGCAACATTTTTAATTGTACTTGATGTGTTGAATAAACCTGCTTTATAGTGTTGACATGATGGGCAACTATAAACAAAGTTGCGAAGTTTAATTGTATCTATAGAAATTACATTACATATGTTCGAGCAACGATCTATATCAGTGGTTCTCAAACTATGGTACGCGTACCACTGATGGTACGCGAGAAGTTCTCAAGTGGNGAAATGCTCGATTATTTCGGCACTTGTCCGAAACCGACGATTGGGTCTAACATATACATACATTCTTGAAAATTTGCCAATTTCACATTTCTTGAAATTGTGGTTGAAGAGAAAATAATAATGTCTCCAAAACTGTTAGAAATTAAGAAATGAAACTCTCTAGATGACAGGTTGTACTAAATTTTAAGCTTTCAGGGTAAACGATTCACTCTACCTACAAGGTGTATCTGAATATGTCGTTGAAGTTAGCAACGGATTCAGAAACAAAATTCACATTTTTACAGCGAACCAAGCAAATAGTGTACTCTATTTATAATTTCGTATTTATTAGTGATAACAACCAAAAAAACCATCAAAATTAGCATTAAAGAGAGTAAAATACAAAACCCTTCTAAAACTTTCAATTAAAATTAATTATTATTATATAAAAACGTGGGATCGAGATCACCCTCTCATTATGTGAAAAAATCATATTTGTATTGAAAAAGCTTGAGGATCCATTAAGTTCACTCCAAATATCAAAATCACTATTTCGAATAACATATCTAAGAACCACCCGGAAATTCAGAGGATAAAGGATCGAAATCACCTCCGAAATACGTAAAAAATTCATAACTTTCTTGAAAAATTTTGTGACACCACCAAACTTAGTCGAAAAATCAAAAATAACGTTTCAAATATCATATATTATGTATGAGACACGCGGAAATTATGTTGATCAAACAAGCTTGCTTCGTTGTTCATTCCGTAATATTTACGTATAATTTTTAAATTCAGAAATCCTACAAGAATGTATTTCACAAATGCCTTGTCTGGTATATTGGTTGTTGACATTATCTTTCTACATATATAGACTGCCGCACTAAGGCCCACTTTTACCATCCTCCTGATAAACTATCTAGAGGATAGTTGCCATGGTTACGGCGGTTTTAAGCGCTCTCATTGGCTAAGAACTGGATTTATCTATCGGATAAATTTATCAGGAGGTGGTAAAAGTGGGCCTAACTGATGTAAACGGAGTTGACATATCCCATTTCAAATGGTACTCTGGTTTATTAACAGAACGGTACCGCTCACAAAAATCGTTTGTATTTCTTGTATTGTATATTTCTTGTAACTCATTTTTATAATGAATAACAACATATTTTAGAGACATATTATCCAACGCAACATTTTTAATTGTACTTGATGTGTTGAATAAACCTGCTTTATAGTGTTGACATGATGGGCAACTATAAACAAAGTTGCGAAGTTTAATTGTATTTACAGAAATTACATTAGATATGTTCGAGCAACGATCTATATGTAACCATCTGTTACATAAGTTGCAGCCTACATAATTTTCTTCTGATCCTATACTACTTTTAAAACATTTATCATACATAACGTGAGATGACAGTAATAAAACATTTTGTAAAGAAATTCTGAAAAGGTCAGGATTAAAATTACTTTGTAATAATGATGTTGACAAATATTGCAGTGACTCATTTTTTTTGGAAAACCATATAACCATATAACATAGACTCCACAATTGATCGAATCCTCACTCTCTTGGGGGAGGATATACTATTGTTGTTAGTTTCCACTTTCTAGCATTTAGTTTGTCTTCGTGTACGTGTAGACGGTCTCTAGTGGAAAATAGTCTTTTAACCTTTTTTTATAAGTTCCTCGTGTGATATACGATAATATTTACTAGGATTCAAAATACAAATAGAGTTAGTAGTCAAATCTAATATAATTAATATCCAGTGATTGTTGTTACAATTGTGGGGCAAGAGAATAAAACGGACTTCTTACGTGGATCCGGTAAAATTAACATACATTAAGGGTCTAGTGGGGTCCATGAGAACCCCAAAAGTTTAACATGCTTATTAAAACAGAGGACACAAAATACAAAAATTTTATTTTTCAAAATTTAAAACTGCACTTTTTTTGACATAATTAAATACATTTATAAACAATTTTTGCAAACTGAATAGCGGTGGCTGAGGCAGATATGCTTTTTGCATTTTTCGCACACCATTTTTGTCTTTTTGTCTGCCTGTCGTGGGCAAACATAGCATCTTGATTTCCTTGTCGGTTCTGTATCCGAAGGGGTCGAAGAAAGTGGAGTCCCACCATGTTGTACTACAATTTCTCTCAATTCCCGTGAAAGAGGTCGAACATCACGACGTTCAATGTGAGGCTTTACCAAAGCCATTCCAAGTTTCTTCAGCAATTGTCTTCTTATTAGTTGATCAACCGGGTCAATTTTTGTATTACAGTGTAGAATAACTGCAGCGTTGACGCCTGCTATGTTCAATATGGCGTAAAAAATAACCATTGGCCATCTGCGAGTTCGACGCGAAACCGAGTAGTTAGCACATAGCTGATCTAATGCATCTACACCTGCCTTTGTGTTGTTGTAATCTGTAATTATATCTGGCTTTTTATTTTCTTTGTTGATCTTTTGATCTTGGTGCATTGTTGAAAGAAGCACGACCGCACGATTTTTGCGAGGTACGTATGAACAAAGAGTCTTTTCTTGATTGTGTCCAAATAAAGTTGAATGAACAAGACGTTTACTCTGTGGCTTGAACTCTACCGGAATTTGTGGCTTATTTTGCTTCATAGTGCCTAAAACGGTCAAGTTTTTCTTTTTCATTTCTTCACATAGCTCAAGTGACATGAACCAGTTGTCAACCGTAATGTTTCTATTAGTCCCTTGAATCGGTGTAATAAGTTTGAGAACATCTTTTGTTGGAATTGATAAAGTTTTATCATTTGTTGTCTCTTTGCCTGTGTAAACAAAGGCATTACATAAGTAAAAACTGCGAGAATCGCAAAGACACATTATTTTCAATCCGTACTTGGCCGGCTTTTTTGGCATGTACATCCGAAAACTACACCTACCACGAAATGGGACTAGCATTTCGTCTATGGTAACATTTTGGCTTGGTGTATAATACTTCTGACAATTGGCTACGAAGATGTCCCATAATTCTCGAATTGCTGCAAGTTTGTCATTTGCTTTCCTAGCTTCCCTTGTGGCAGCACAATCAAAACGCAAACATGTCAGAATAAACAAAAACCTTTTAAGGCTCATTGTTGCCCGAAAAACATCGCGTCCGGTACCATCATTCGCAAAAAGTCCTTCCACATTTTCATGGTTTGATTTCATTATACCAGACAGATAAAGCAGACCAATAAAAGCTCTCAACTCCATCATATCAAGGAGACTTACAAATGCAGGTTGAGGTGCTTTATAGTGGTGCTGCATCTCACTTATTTTATTATTTGTGTTTACCAAAATTAGTTGCAAAAAATCTTCAGGAATAAGTAACTGTCAAGCAGACAATATATCAGCCCGCTGATATTTCCTCGTTTCATTTTTAGGGCCTGGAAGACGGATGACTAAATTGTGTTTACGTGTTCGAGTTGGTTTAGGACACTCTTTTGACCACTTGTAGCACCGTTTCTTTCCGAAATAAAATTTATCATCTGATGTAGTACCATTATCTTCGTCATCCGATTCTGAACTTTGTATTGAAGCTTCTGATGTTGAATCATGATCACTTTGTCTAGATGTATCATCAGCATCGCTTTCTTCTTCAGACTCAAAAAATGCTGGATCTTCTAAAATGCTCTCCAACTCTGTGTCTGTCAAGAACCGCTTTGAAGTTGAAACCATTCTGTAAAAAATTTGTGTACATAACCTCACATTTTATATATTTCTGTAAACAGAACTTGATATAATGTGCGAAAATTAACTTACGTCAATGGTCTGGTGGGGTCTCCGAAAACTATTTATTTTTTATTTATTTTTTTATAACTTTTTTCTACAATTCACATACACCAACAGAAAAATTGCAATTTGACTGAGGAATATAGAAATTCACACCGCCTGTTACAGAGAGGATAAATTATAAACAAATTTGTACTGTCTGGGGTCTCTCTGTACCCCACTAGACCAGTTAAGGGTTAAGGGTTTTATAAAAGGTAAAAATTTAGACGAATTCTTTATCTGATCTGAAAACAAAATTTTGGACGGATATTGTGTCGATGTAATAAATGTCTTCGCGGTCTCTATGCAATAATCTACAACCCATGAACTTGTGTACATGTTGGACGAAGGACAATTCATGTTTTCTGTTGATATAAGCGTTCTAAAGTCAGAGCTACTTAACGAAATCGTTTGTCCATTATATGCATATTGTTCCAAGATAAAATCTGTTTGGAAACCGGCGGACATATAAAAATCATGATCAAAGAACAGACCACTCGCTGATCTGGCTGATCAAGGATACAGTTCAAAGAACAAGACTATATCCCCCTCATCAACATTTTCTGGTTGGGTTGGGTTGGTTCCCCTTATGATCTCCTCTTCAACTTTTTCTAGTTGGACGATTAAATTCATTACCACTTCATCTATTTTGTTATTTTCATCATTTACGTTAATTTTGTCCGTTAAGTAAACATTATGAAAATACCGTTTTCGTTTCTTTGATTTTGTCCACGTTTCTTGAGCATCAGGGTTATCAATTTCATGTCGTACATGTGATTTTGTTGAGGTTATTTTTTTCCTCTTCTGTTTTTTACCAATTTCTAAATCTATAGCTTTTATGTTACTTATAATTCGTGAATTAAACAAGTTTATAAATCACCCTACTTTCAAATTTGTTTTGTTCTCTAGTATTTCTTGCTTGACAATTTTAAACCATGTTTCCACAAGTTAATTACTGTAACGATCTCTTTCAAGTATGTCGACCACATTGGAGCGAATGGCATTACATAATTCAATAAATACGTAAAAAATCCTCGTGTTTGTAAGCGTTGTGTTCGGTTGCTGAGCTTACATTTTCATCTAACTCTTTTAAAACCTTGTCATAAACTCTAAAAAAAAACAGAGGAAAAAAGGAGAGCTAGTGTATTCTCCTCTCACAACTTCCTCATCTATGTCGACGTCCAATTCACATGAAATATCTTGCCTTGTAGATAACAAATGATTGTAAGTTTCGGAGTCACTAGACGATAGGTATGCTATTGCATTTTTGACGTTGTTATTATATGACGATGTTAATAAGAAAAAAGCGACATTTTCAAATCGAATAATTAACTCTTTCAAGGATCTACATTGAACTAAAACTGCTTTTGCTTTAACAATGCCATCCCTTATATTCGGTTTTTCTTAGTACCCGAAAATCTGTTGCAAATCATTTTAACGAAATGTCCACAACATAGTTTTAATTTTATTAAACTAAAAAATCGATGGTCGTCCTTATTTGTAACATATTTATAACAAATTTGGAGGTAAGTATATAAAGTGACATCGTTTAACCCTTGACAAATAGCCATCATAAGCGAAAAACTCCAATCAGTTACAACAACATTAAATATTGACAAACTGTAATTGCCTCAGACTATCAATATTTATTGACAATCTACTTAGTTTTGCGTTGGCAGTCAAAGATGTCATGTCATGTTTGTATGTGTTAATGAACCATCTGGGAAGTTAATAGCACTTTTGTCCATTAAAGTATATCTGTCCGCATTTATTATTATGCAGTATAGGCGAGACAAAAATACGTACTTTTACATAAAATTCATTTTCAATTGATGTTTCCCTTGAAGATATGGTTTAGTGATTCTTTGGTTATACTTTCGTCATTAAACTGTCCTCATATTTTTTAAAAACAGTTTTTTTTCAATTATTTTCGTAGTTTTTTCGCTGGAAAGGGCAGAAAATTTCCTATAAGGTTCATATGGTCCCAGAGTTATGTCCATATCATATAAGAAATTTATGAATTTTTTATGTGTTTCGGGGATGATTTCGACCCCTTATCCCCTGAATTTCCGCGAATGTCGCGGATTTGTTATTCGAAACGTTATTTTCGAATTTTGGACTGAGTTTGGAGGTGTCACAAAATTTTTCAAGAAAATTATGAATTTCTTACGTATTTCGAGGGTGATTTCGACCCCTTATCCTCTGAATTTCCGGGTGGTTCTTAGATATGTTATTCGAAATAGTGATTTTGATACTTGGAGTGAACTTAATGGATCATCAAGCTTTTTCAATACAAATATGAATTTTTCACATAATGATAGGGTGATTTCGATCCCACATTTTTATTTAATAATAATTAATTTTAGTTATACATAGTAGTATTGTTTTGGGGGGATTTCCAAAACCATTACTGTCTCTGTAATGCTAATTTTGATGTTTTTTAGTTGTTATCACTAATAAATACGAAATTATAGATATAATAGAGTACAGGGTGTCCAAATTTCGATGGGTTTTCAGGGTATCTCAGTTATTATGAAAGTTAGAAAGTTACGGCGTTCGCGAACCTGAGCTACTTTTTTGTGAAACTTACAATGGCGCAAACCAAATTTTCATAGCCCTCTTCGTTTTTGATATACAGGGAGTGTTTGAAATTTACGATTTTCAGACACCTCCTGTATCTCGGCTATCCGGAAACTTAGTAAAAAAGTAAAAACGGGTTCTAATAGATTTTTTCACGTGGAATCCAATGGTGCACGTAGAATTTTTCTAGTCATCACGGTCTTTGAGTTATAAACACAACTCAAATGCTGAATACTCAACTTCTAAAATACTTAACTCTTTATAACTCAAAAACCGTGATGACTAGAAAAATTCTACGTGCACCATTGGATTCTACGTGAAAAAATCTATTAGAACCCGTTTTTACGTTTCCGGATAGCTGAGATACAAGAGGTGTCTGAAAATCTTAAATTTTGAAACACTCCCTGTATATCAAAAACGAAGAGGGCTATGACAATTTGGTTTGCGCCATTGTAAGTTTCACAAAAAAGTAACTCAGGTTTGCGAAAGCCGCAACTTTCTATCTTTCATAATAACTGAGATACCCTGCAAACCCATCGAAATTTGGACACCCTGTACACTATTTGTTTGGTCCGCTGAATTCGTTGCCAACTTCAACGACATTATCTGAATGACGTTCCCAAACTTCAGGGGGCGATTCTTTAGCGAATTTTAAGGGTATTTTCTTATATGAACTATGAGCATCTTCGGCTTTTTTTCGAGAACTATAAACACCACAAAAATGAAATTTGAGGAATAAGTTTAGTTCATACTAGGGCACGTTGCTAGCTTATTTGTACTTTCAATATTCCCTTCTAATTGTAGGTTACTAAACGTAACAACGCCCGTTCGATTATGCCTAGATTTTTTTATGGAGATGATAAATAAGAAGAGCAATAAATACATTTAGTTTTGCAGTGATAAATGCAGTTCTCAATTTCCTCTTCATAATATTCCATTTGTTATATGCTATCGGCCCTACAATCTCCCTAAAAATATTGAAAAAATTTACGGTCATCCAGGTGTTGAGCCTGGTTCGCCTGGTTCTATTTCTTGCCAAACTGTAACATCACTTTCATTTTCTGGACTCTATAATGGTCTTTTCTCTTTTGTTCTCTACGTATATTCAAAATATTCTCGTTCTCACTTTCTTTTCCTGAGGTCTCACATTCGTCCGTAGTATCAAATGAGTCATCAGGTTATTCTATACTATCCACTTCACTTTCAGATAGTCTTCTTCGCTAAATTCCATTTTTTCATCTATTTTATTTATAATTTCCAATGATTTCAAATATCTTGATTGTTGCGACATTTTTAAATGCTAAAATTTCAAAAGAAAAGTGGTTTATTAACCACACTCTAAATAAAATGCAAAAATTAAGATTATTATAAACTTAATTATAACAAACTTAAGCACAAGGACGAACAGCTTACAAATAATATGCTGTAAACTCTTAAGAGGTCACTCGAGTCTGGCGTCACAAACCAATGTGGAAACCCAAATTAAAACCAGCCTCGAAGGACCCTCACAATTCACATCCCAGCCTAACACGTGGTAAACAAAAATCAACTTAACAGCCAAATAAGCGCTAAAATAAACGCGGATATACATATATTATGTTTCAACAGGTATCCACAAAGGTTATTTCCTTAAAACTTTTTTATTATATCATAAACCCTTAAAATTTCCAAATGATTCTAAAAGCCTATTTCATTTTAAAATTAGTACTCTTACGATTAGAAATTTTTGATTAGACGCATCGTTTTAGAATTATTAGAGTTTGCTTAATTAATATTATTCTGAAAAATTATTAAATTTTCGGAGAACATCAGAGAGGTAAAAAAGTTTTAGAATATTTTCATGTATCTAAATGAGGGTTTTCCAATGTATTTATGACCTTCATAAAAAAAATCTAGGCAAAAATTGAACGAGGCTGGTTACGTTTAGTAACTTAGAAGGGAAGTACCTTATTATGAGCTAAACTTATTTCCCAAATTTCATCGCGAGAGGATTCGCGAAATATATTTCGGAGCATGGAGGTGTTGCTTCTGGTGTCCCACAGGGTTCGATTCTTGGGCCGCATTTGTTTTCGATATATACTTCCTTTTTACCTGATTGTTTATCGACTTGTAAATACCATCTATACGCGGATGATACACTTATCTATCACTCATTTCCTTTACAAGAGGCCCAAGACGCTCTTAAGCTTATAAACAATGACCTTGATCGTCTAGCTAATCTGTCTGAATCGCATTCATTAAGTTTGAATCCGAATAAATCATCAGCTACAATTTTTGGTAATGCAAAAGTTCCGAAGTCATTCAACAATAGTGGCGATATGTTCAGTGATTTACGTTTCACCGATCACGTTAATACCTTTTTTAGACGATCATAGAGCAAATTAAAATTGCTTTACCCCAATAGACATTTGTTGAATAAAGTTGATTCTGTGTGATTCTTTGGTTCTTTCATCATTTAATAATTGTGATCTTGTTTATGGGCCTTGTTTGACGATGAATGATGATCCAGAGGTCCAGAAGTCCTGTCTCAGGTACATTTATGGTATACGCCGTCATGAAAGAATATCGTATAAGCTGGCTAGTGTAAATTGGTTGAATATGATGGACCGGCGTAAACTTCATATTGCTTGTCGAATGGTGTCTATTATTTCGAATTGTAAGCCACCTCACCTCTATGAAAGGATTACGTATAGAACCGATGTTCATCATTTGAATTTAAGGCGTAATAACTTAATTTGTATTCCCAAACATCGAACTCAAACTTTTAAATATTGTTTTTCCTATATCATTGGATCGGTTCTCAACAACCTTCCTATTAGCTATTCCGGTTACAGCATGCAAACATTTAAAAAAAATACAAATACTATCTTGCCTCATTAGGTGCGAGGGCTGGCGATGGCATTGACCAATAAGATTATGTAATCGAGAGAGAATGGAATAATAATGTATTTTATCTTGCAGTTGTTGTATTGGTGATGAGAAAGAATATTTAAGTTTTATTTTGGAATTATAAATAATTATATACTACTATATTTTTTTCTTTTTTCATTTTTGATGGGCACCTATAAAACCAGCTTACTATGGTGTCCCTTTTGATATTCATTTACTCTTTTTTTCATTTTTTTGTACTACCTATTAAGGTTCTTTTCTTTTTTTATTGTTTTTGAGTGTGTTTACTTCTTGAAAATTAAGTTTGTTTCTTTGATTATGTTAATTTGATTTTGTTATTGAATATCAATAAATGGTTTATTATTATTATTATTGTTCTTGACAGTACTGTGCCTATCGTTGAAGCACCATCTCGTCTGTCCATAATAACTTTCTTTTATTGCTAACGTTCTAGGTTTGGTTGATTGTTACAGTATTTTTCAATTTCTTTGTACATATTTTTGATATAGTCCTTTCTGCCATCTCAGCATCTTCTCAGAATTTCCCGCCTCAATCTGCTGTCTTCATTTTTGCTTTCCTCGGTAGTTAAACCGTGTTGGTTGATGTTTCTCCTTTTCTGGATTACACCCAGTGTTTCACCAGTAACCCAATACTTGTTGGTATATTTTCTGTCTTCTTCTTCGGTCTGGATTCGATTTAGACTGCATGGTTTTGCTTGCAAATTGATTGTAATTATTCTATCACTTATATGATTGTATCAAACCATGGAGGTCTTCATATGATTAGGAATGAATCTCACTGCAACACCATTACTGCTTTTCGTAGAAAATACGGTGTTTCCTATTCTTGATATAAAATAACCAGCTCCTTTCTTTCATGTCACTTTTATATCTCCAGATATTTAGACTCTAAAATTGCCATGGAATTCTCTTGGAAAAAGAAGTAATGAAAGTTGTTTCCCGTTTCCTTGTTTCATGACAGAGATCGAGAGAAATTTGCGTGTTTCTGGTATTTATGGGCGTCATAAGCTCGCCCATCATCTCCTCTCGTCAGCTGCATAACGTACACCTATTATGTACCATGAATTACCAGCGGTCACGATTTGGACGTGGTAGTGGAATATGTCTATCCGTTTAATTGGACTTTGGGCATATCTCTGCCCATTGCTAAGATGTCGACTGTCTTTTCTGTCCCTAAGATCAGACATTTGACCATCTACTAAGTATTAAGACTTGATAAAATGAATATATTTATCAATTTTATACAGTATACAAACAAATAAAATAATAATCATTTTTTTTACATTTTTTTTAGAACCTTTGAAAAAATAGTTGAATACTGTTCAAAATACGGCAGTTTAATTCCTCTCAGTTTTGTACTGGGTTTCTACGTAAACATCGTCATGACGAGATGGTGGAATCAATTCGAAACAATTCCATATCCGGATAATTTAGCAATGCTAATAAGCGCAAGTGTAAAAGGAAGAGTAAGTTTTAGAATAATCACATCTTTATTACACATTTATTTATTATTAATATTAACCTTTTCAGACTGAACATTGTCGAATAATTCGAAGAACATTAGCAAGATATGCTTGTTTAAGTTTCACAAGCACATTAACATTAATTTCACCAAAAGTTAAACGAAGATTTCCAACATTAAATCATATCACAGAAGCCGGTTTAATGATGCCCGATGAAGAAAAAATAATGCGTGAACTTCAAGAAGAATATCCAAATTACCCTAGATTTTGGTTACCTTTAGCTTGGGCATCAACTATAGCAGCTAAAGCTAGAGAAGAAGGATTAATTCAAACCGATCAATCATTACAGGCAATTTTACACGAAATAAATACATTCAGAACAAAATGTGGGGGGTTATTAAGCTACGATTGGATCAGTATTCCTCTTGTTTATACCCAAGTCGTAACAATAGCAGTTTATAGTTATTTTGTAACATCAGTAATTGGCCAACAATATCTTTATACAAGCGATGAAATTGATATTTATTTCCCCGTTTTGGCTATTTTAGAATTTTTCTTTTATATGGGTTGGTTGAGAGTTGCAGAAACTTTAATAAACCCATTCGGGGAAGACGATGATGATTTCGACGTAGTTACAATGATCGATAGACATTTACAAGTTAGTTATTTAATCGTAGATAAAATTCACGAAGAACATCCAAAATTAATGCAAGATCAATATTGGAATAGTTCAGTTCCGAGACATTTACCATACACAATTGGTTCGGAAAAATATATTGAAGATATTCCTAACCACTCAACTGATAAAATGACTGTTACTAAAGATGAAGCTGAAGTTTTACCACCTGGTGGTAAACGATCAAAATCTGATTCGTTTAAAAGAAATCAACCATCTCTTATTAGAAGATTATTAAGAGGACAATCACCATCAAATGACGATGATAAAGATAAAAGTATTATTGCATTGACTTCGATAGATGTTCCGGATAATAAACCTTCATCGCCAATTTCTTCATCGAATATTTCAACGTCAACGAAAACACAATTAGAAGAAGAGGATCGACCGGAAACGATTGATTTTGAAAAATTAAAAAATTTGAGACAACTGCTTTTAAAGCAAAAAGTCGTTAAATATATGGAATTGATGAAGGAACATACAAATGAAGAGGAAGGAAAGATTCTTGATGAAATTTTACACATAAGGGAAGATGGAGATAATAAAATGCATTCATGACTTAAATGTTAATATAATTTCTTTATTAAATAAGATACTATTAATTAAAATTAATTTTTCTTCTTGTTTTCCTCTTAACTGTGACTTTTGAATATTTCAACATTTTTTAAACCAAAAATTTGTGTAAAGATTTAAATATTTAATATATAGAGTGTCTTACGTAACTGGTTCGTTAGAACCTTTTTAGGTTCCACTATTCGTACAGTTTTGAAAGTTTGGTAGTAGGGGTTAATCATCCGAAGCTTTCGATCTAAAATACTTTCAAGATGGTCGCCACTTCCGGTCTATCGAAACTATACGCGATATACCTATATTAAAAACAAAGTTTTATTTTATATTTCCAAAATACAAAAATTAAATAAATGTAAAACTAGAACAGCATATTTAGAAGTTTCCATTGCTAACAACAAAAACTCTTGGACAGCATTCAAACAGTATATGTGAACAGACTTGTATACCTATGAAGATATCTAATATTGTTCCGTCCCATTTACGTAATCCGGATACAGTCAACCGCTTCTTCATTAATTCGATGACCTCTATAAATGACGATTTTGATCGCGAGCTTTACAACTTTGCAATGCAATGGGATGGGATAATTTGAATATAAAGTTAACAATTCCTGACGTGAGCCCGTATCTGAGAAATATTGTTAACACTTGTATCGCTAAAGGTAAATTCCTTATCTTCCGTCACCTTGGATAACACAAAATATAAAATTTATGCAAAAAGCTTAAGAGATAAAGCCTTTATAAATTATCAGTCAAATAAAACATCTGCTAAATGGGATTATTACAAGTTATTGCGTAATTTGGTTAATAAATCAATAACTCTAGAACGTAAGGCATACTTTGAATTTCAATTGAGAATTACAAATAACAGCTGGAAGGCATTGAGAAATGCTGGAATGTTTAAAAGAAATATTATTTCAATACCTAAACACCTTGGTTCCCCAAACGCTATTAACAACTTTTTTATCAATGCAATACGAATGCAATCAGTCAAGTGCAGATGCTAGATCGAAATCTTTTGTTTGCATTAGTTTGTTGCGTCGTATTCTTCTCCTATTTGAAATCGTAAAGTCTTTAAGGCCTCTATCTTACTCTACCATCCATCTCTCCCTTTAATATGTTTCCAAAGTATTGCCCACCGAAACGTAGATGATGCAAAAAAAAATAGTTTCTGGATTATATTGAAGAAATTGGCGGCTACCGAAGAAGCTTTTGCCATATCATTAACCACTAGATTCAGAGAATGACTGCTACACGGAACGTAAAACGCTCCTGAATTTAAATTCTTAATTCTAGATTGCACTCCAGCTTTATCGCCTTTCATATTAGATCCATTATCATATCCCTGCCCTNGGGATTATTACAAGTTATTGCGTAATTTGGTTAATAAATCAATAACTCTAGAACGTAAGGCATACTTTGAATTTCAATTGGGAATTACAAATAACAGCTGGAATTCATTGAGAAATGCCGGAATGTTTAAAAGAAATATTATTTCAATACCTAAACACCTTGGTCCCCCAAACGCTATTAACAACTTTTTTGTCAATGCAATACCCAGAAGTCATAGTCCTGATCATGAATTACTAAACTTTTATAACTGCAATAAACTAAATGATTTAACCTTCGGTTTTCACACTGTTGATGAGTTCGAAATTGAAAAGGCTATCAGCACTATCAAAAGTAAAGCTTCCGGATATGACTATCTCAATATTAAAGTATTGATTTGTGTTCTCCACATATTACACCTTACCTTTGTAATCTCATTAATACTTGTATTCTTAGTGGTGTATTCCCTACCATCTGGAAAAAAGCTTTGATAAAGCCCTTGCCCAAATCCAACGCTCCAACTGCTTTAAGTGATCTGAGGCGTATGGGAGTTTGAAGGTTATCTACTCGAACAGACATTATTTGAACCGTAACACAAGGAAATGTCTCTGTGAGAGTCTGGTCCCGTCACTTTTTCAGTATGCTTTTGTACTCTCCTTAGTTTTATTTATAAATTCTAAAGAATTTTTTACTGTAAAATTTGGTTTAAAATCAATCAATTTAAAAATATCTAATAAAAATTTTGAAATTTTAGCGGTAGGTGAAGAATTAAAAACTGTTATAGGACGAATGGGAATGTCTTTCTTATGGAGTTTGGGAAGGGAATACAACCTCGGTACTGTAGGATTCATTGATATAAAATATGAGCTACAAAAATATGTTTTTCCTTTCAGAAAAGGTGTGTACTCCATCAGTGTCTCTTTACACAGATTGATGAGATTTCTAGTACCTTTAACTATTTTATCCAGGGGGTTAAAATTTATTTTTTTAAAGTTATTATTATTCATAAAATTATGTTTTATTTAAATACACATTCTTATCAATAATCACGACACCCGCTCCCTTATCTGCTTTCACAAATATAGCATCATTTTCTGTAAGTTTTTTACGTATTGATTTAATAGTTTTCCAATGTGAAAGGTTAGAGTTGAAATTATTTTTATTTTTGTTTTTACTGTGTAGAGACTTTTCAGATTTTTTCAAAAAACAGATTAATTGATTTTTAATTTCAATGATTTGTGGGTGGTTTTTAATTATACAATCAAAATCTATTGCTAGTTTTGGTAAATTAACGCTTGAAGATAGGGCAAATTTGTAACCTTTATTTAAGAAATTTTCTTCTTCTTCACTGAAGGAAATATCAGAGAGATTTTTGAATTGCTGGATTTTACCTTTTTGAATTGATGTATTAGGTTTATTGTTAAGTTGATACTTTCTAAGATTATTAATCTTCTTATTCTTTATACGTCGATCTTTAAACCCTGTGACCTTTGATGCGTTGATGAAGTTGGCAATCAAAGAATCCAGTTCTATGTAGTTTAAAACAGTACTTAATTTTCTTTGTGTGATGGCCATCTTCTCGTAAGTAGTATTAAGTTTCTTGTAGTGTCGTCTCTTCTCGCCTCTTAGGATCTTCTTGATCAATTCTTCTCTTCAAGTGCATTACATTTTATTTTTGCAAAATTAGGAATTAAGCTTTCATTAAGACATATGTTGATAAAGTAAATATGGTTTTTTGTGATCTCCAGTTTTAAATATAGTCCCTTCATTCCATGAATGAGTGTTGAAGTATTAAAATTCGAATTAGAATGTAGATCCATGTTGCAAGTGGTTTATATAAAGAATATAACGAAAAAACTTCTAAACTTGCGTTGTATTCCCTTCCCAAACTCCATAAGAAAGACATTCCCATTCGTCCTATAACAGTTTTTAATTCTTCACCTACCGCTAAAATTTCAAAATTTTTATTAAATATTTTTAAATTGATTGATTTTAAACCAAATTTTACAGTAAAAAATTCTTTAGAATTTATAAATAAAACTAAAACGCTTAATTTTCATAACAAAATTTTAATTTCCTTTGACATTACTAATCTCTACTCTAACGTTCCAATTGATTTAACTCTAGAATTAACTTCAAACATGTTTAAGGATTTTTTTGATAATAGCATAACAATAGACCATTGTAATATATTACTGAAACATCTGATTACACAAAATTTCTGCACTTTTAATAATGAATTTTTTCATATATCAGATGGACTTCCAATGGGAATGCCACTATCAGGTCTTCTAGCCGATATTTTCTTAGATCATATAGAAAATAATTATATTGTTAATAATTTCAATCCTTTTAAAAACAATATCCACTCCTGNTGAAATAGAGTATACTAGCCAGTCTCTTACAACATGCTCTCCATTGGTAGAAAATCGACAAGCAAAAATTTCGATTAAATTCGATTATCAAAATTTTATCACATTCTGAGTCAAAATGCCGCCCTTTAGAGCTGCCGCCCGGACAAATGTCCGGATGGTCCGCCCCTAGCGGGCCCTGCTCCCAGTCATTTTTCTTGGGTTTACATTGCTTACAAAAAGACCGTGATTGTTCTCCTACAGAATTAGTGTTTGGTCAACCTCTACGTCTTCTAGGAGAAGTGTTAGTTACATCACACGAATCGTTGGATACTGAACTTTACTTATAGCTTTACGTGAAACCTTTTCAAACTTACGTACTCGACCAGTTTTACATCATACACTGGAAAAACTTTTTATTCATAAGAACTTATTCAAATCAGATTTCGTTTTCCTTAAATCCTCAGGTTACTTGACCGGCCATGCGCTCCTAAAATACTACCTCTTCCACATTGGACAAACTGAGGATCACACTTGCGTCGCCAGAGGCCGTCTAAAGACACAACATTTTCGGCTCTCTTGACACCTACCGACATAAAAGTACAAGACCTTGGGGCAACACAAAGGTTACAATAGATCAGTGGTGTCCACTAATTGGCTCTGAGGCCCAGATATCGATATGTCAGATTCATGATTTTGTTGGCGACCTACTCAAAACGCCTTCGCGATCGACGTTAAGGACACCACTGCAATAGATCTTATAGGTCGCGAGAGGGGCCGCTCCCCTCAGCCCGGCAGCAATAATAATAAGTACGTGATCATATGTTGCGTACCATGTTTCCAAATCGATTAATATCACTTACGATTATATCACTTACAACAAAATCTTTTGTCACATTTGTTGCTAAGAAAAATTAAATTTAGGTTTTATTTTTACTGTTATACTTATTTTTTTATTTTTACTTATTGCACCTGTTACTTTTCTTTTAAAATTTTTCGACCTCCTTTTCATTGTAAAAAAATTCACCTTAATACTAAAAATGTGTTTGTATGATTCGTATTAAAAGAAAATATAGTTAAACACTTTCAATTGTCACTTTTTTGATTGATTTAATTTAAGAAATAAGAGCTTCATTATGCAGACAATCATATTTGTTGAATGTCACAAGAGAACCTCAGTAACATCCTCAACAATATATTTATCATAACAAACATATGTATCAGAGACCAGAGACCTGCAGCGAATGGCTCACATAGTGATTCATATTCCCTGATTCGTTGCTTGAGTGTTGCCTTCATTCGTCAATAGTTACTGTGAATCATATTGTGTGGTGTTCTTTCTTAAGTTACTGTATTGTCGACT